AATTCTACATAAAAGTTTTCTGTCATTATCATCATCTTTTTTTTTTTTCATCCGGGAAACCACTACTTCATTGAGCCCTTTATACATCTAAAGCCTTGTGCAAATACTTGATATTATTTTGTTTAGTCCTCACTCTTCCTAATGTGATGGGCTCTGTCAGCTCAGAGAGGTTTAGTTACTGGCCCAACCTCTCACACTTCGCAAGCTGTACAACTGGGCTGAAGCTGTTCCCAGCTGACTCCAGAACCCACCGCTGTATAATGGAAAGTTTTCTGTCCACTGTTGTTTCTTTAAAATGATGCAACCAAAATCCTGCCCAAGTCACCAACAGCAAGGAATATGGAGAGAGCATATTATTGATCATCAATTTAGAGATGATGACACTGAGGCTTGTCCCGGGTCACACTCGTGTACAGTAGTGGAATTGAGAATCCAGCCTGAGCCTCCTGCTTCCCAGCCCAGTGGCTCTTGCATGGTGTGCTTCTCCTTTGCATGGCTGAAGGAGGTCCTTGGCGATGTCAGTCCTCAGCAGTGTCTCAGTGTGGCGGTTTGGAAATGGAAATGTGTTTGTGAAGAGCAGCCCAGGGCAGCATCACATATCTTGTCCCTACCACAGAGAAAAAGACTCCCACTCTCAGAGTTCTCTACCTGCAAGGTGGGAACAGTAGCCTGTGGAATGGCAGCCTTGGTACCTCCAGAGCCCAGCTCACCATGGCCAGGCCTCAAGGAGAGGGTCACACCAAGACTATTATTCAGAGGTGTATCAGTGTCCATTGCTGTCCTAACACATTACCACAAATTTAACTGCCTAAAACAACACAAATTTATTATCACAGTTCTGTAATTCAGAAGTCCTGTGGAGGAGGGCTCAACTGATTTCTCTGTTCAGGGTTTCCCCAAGCTAACACCAGGGTATGAGGCAATCTGAGCTCTTATTTGGAAACTTATTTTGGAAGAGAATCTGCTTCCAGGCTTATTCAGGTGGCTGACACAATTCTAGTTTGCATAATTATAGGACTAAAGTCTGTTCCTTTGCTGGCTGTTGCCTGAAAGACATTCTTAGCTTCCAGAGACTACCTGCATTCTCAAGCTGTGAAACTTTTCATTTTCTAAGACAGCCATGGCATATCAAACCCTTCTTATACCTTGATATTCTCTGACTTCTCCTTCCTCCACATGTAACCTGCCTCCCACAAGAGAATAGTCTCTGCTTTGAAAGGACTGATGTGGTTAAACTGGGTTCATCTGAGGGATTCAGGATGTTCTTTCTACCTTAGTCTGGAACCTTGTTTATATCTTCAAAGTCCCTTGTGCCATGAAACCTAACATATTCACAAGTTCTGGGGATTAGAGTGTAGGCATCTTTGGGGAGCAATCCTGCCAACCAGAAGAAATTAACTACTCAACATGTTTGAGTGTTTGTTTCCATCATTGTGAAAAGCCCAGAGCATCAGCAGGCAAGGGGGATGAAACCTGGAGGGTCCATGCTTTGTACCACCTTTGTTCAGGCTCCCCAGTGAAGGCTAGTCCGTCTTCACCACCTTGCAAGCCCAGCCAGTATCTTGGGAGTTTTATTTTTAAGATGTTCTTTTGCATATCTTTATTCCACTATCATGTTTTTAAAAATCCAGTTCTTTTGCTTTCTATCACTTTCCCCTTCTTTCTCTGGGGTCCTCGAGAGATCACTAGTAATGCTTGCTATCCGCCTCACAGTTTCTCCAAAGCATTTCACACACACCATCTTTTATGAGCCCCTTAATCATCCTGGAGGATCAGTAAGATAATGATGATAATGATGACTATTATTACTGTCAGCCTATTTTATAACCCTGGAAAACAAGGCTCAGAAAGGTGAATGACATTGCTAGTAAGCAATAGAAGCAGGTTTCAGGTACCTGATGGCAAAGCCCATCTGCCTTCGACCATGCCAGTCTGTCTCCCTTTGCTCCTTTCTCACTTCCTGTTACCCTCATGTTCCAATTAATTAATCATTTTCATTACCCTGTTCTACTCTCTCTTCGCCATCTCCACATTTCATTTAAATTGTGGTGCCACAGCTGGCTGCTAAAAGCTGCCATTTCATTCCCATAGAGTATTTATGCTTGATTTTTTTACAGCTTTATTTGTTTTTATCCACACTGAGCACTGTACCCAGCTGCGTTGAATTCATAGTCATTGCATGCAGAGCCCAGATTCTGCAAAATGTAATCCGATTAGTGCTGCATACTGGAGATGTGTGGGAGGTAAAGCTCTATTATAGAAAACCTTTGGGCCAATGTCCTCTTTCTCGAATCAGTTTTTAAGGCAATCAGATGGGGGAAAAAAGGCAAGGCACTATGGGGAAGACCACCAGCTTAGTGTAGGAAGTCTAATTTATGAGTCCATTTAAGGACTAAATCATTGAGCTTGGGCAGGCGATAGAGACTGGCAAAGCACAATTAACGGAATTGAAAGCAAAAAGAAATGTTAAGAGGTAAGCCAGTTACTCAAATCCTTACTTTTAAAACAAAAAAAAAGAAGAAGAAAAATCATGATCATCATAGCCACATACTGTTCTGAAGACTTTAGGTGTACATTAATCAGCTCATCATCACAGCTATATGAACTGGGTATCATAATCATGCCCATTTGGCTGATGGGAAAAGTTGAGGCTCAGCAAAGTGAGGTGACTCTCCCAAAGTTGCACTGCTCACATTCATTCACAGAGCCAGGATTTGAATCTAGACACTTCAGCCCCAGAGTTGATGTTCTCAATCACTGCATCATGTTGCTACTCTGAAGCCCATCATCTCACTAGAGTTTAAGTATCTTTAAAGAGATGATTAAGGTCAGGGTAGGACCAAGAAGATGAAGGATGGAGGAGATGGAGATTTTTTTTTCCTTTGTGGGGGTGGGGGTGGAGCTTTGGACCCTTTTAATCTACTATACTTTTTGGCTGTATGACCTTGGGTAGAATCTTTACTTCTTTGTATGTTGGGGAGAAGATATGGGAAGAATTCCTTTCGGGGTCTAAGGCAACTGTGAGATTCTTTCCAGCTGGGACATTCAGGGGTTCTGAGAAAGGACCACTACAGTAAGGCAGAGTTAGAGTCACAGTGAGGCTGGACTAATGCTGAGGATGAATGAGGTGGTCAGAGGAGTTACCATTATTTTTATGTGTCAGCTTGACCGGGTTAACGAATGCCCTGATAGCTGGTACCACATTATTTAGGGATGTGTCTGTGAGGGTGTTTCCAGAGGAGTTAGCATTAGAATCCATAGACTGAGTAAAGAAATCGACCATCACAGATGCCAGTGGGCACCATCCAGTTCATCAAGATCCTGGATGAGACCAAAACATGGAGGAAGTGCAAATATTGCTGTCTGCTGGAACTTGTACATCCATTGTCCTGCCCTCTGCCATCAGCACTCCTGGTTCTGTGGCCTTCAGACTCAGATGGGGATTTACACCATTGGATTAAGATTAATGCGGGCCAGGAAATCCCATGACCTGTGGTCTGCAAAGAGAAGACCTAGGAAGTCTCATACCATGAGATTTGCCTTCTGTGCAAGTCTGAAGGCTCTCTGTGCACCAAAGTTGGAGGGCGGAAGAAAATGAATCCCAGTTAAAGTAGAGAGCAAATTGCCCTTCCTTTTGCCTTTTGGTTCGATTTGGGCCCTCAACATATTGGATAACGTCAGTCTTCACTGGTGATGGCCAGCTTCTCAATCTATCAAGTCTACCAATTCAAAAGATAATCTCTTCTGGAAACATGTGCATAGACACACCTAGAGTAATTTAGTTTTACCAGCTACCTAGGCATCCCTTAGCCCAATCAAATATACACATAAAATTAGCCAACACAGTCACTGAATGTGATAAGTTACCATGAAACATTTTCATTTTGAAAAAAAAAAATGAAACATGACTGAACTGTATAGTTTTCAGTTTATAAAGTCATTGAAATATTTTCTTCTCCAGAGGAATTTGTTTCCTCTAGATCCCTTAAACATCCTCATTATCAATTGTGTAGTGATCCCTAACATCAAGTCCAAAATCTACATTTTGGTTCTGGCTTTATTCGCTGGCTAGATAATGTACACTGGATAATCTTCCTCTCAGCGGTCCTGTTTGTGATGAGTAATGTGAAACTGGTACCTAATAGAGATGTTGTCTAATCTGGGGGAAGGGGAAGGCAATGGTGTTTTAAAATCTGGCATGTTTTTTGTTCCTTCTATTGGTTTACCATGAACAATGACTGGCCGCTTGGAAGCCAGAAGTGTTTATCAGTGGACTTCAGTAGGACTAAGGGAACAGGGACATAGTTGGGGAGAAAAATGTGGCTTAAAAACCATGTTTGCAACACTGTTGTTTCTTTGGCACCACTGTATGCACTGGTCAGAGAGACACCTCGTGTCATGATACCCCAGGATCATGAGAACCCTGAAATCAGCTAGAAAAGGAAATGAAAGCTGACTGACAGGTGTGCTATGTGCTGAGAGGCCTCACAGAGATGGTGTGAGAGGCAGGAAGCAAACCACAGCACCAGGCTCTGTGTCCACAACTCAATCCACTGGGATATACTGTCCATCACCTGTCCCCCAGAGAAAGTTTATAGCTAGAGCTCTTCTCTGACATCAGAGGTTTTCCAAACATATAACAAATCTCTAGCACCTACAAAATATATGAAGTTCAAGTCTCCGCTGATTTATTTAGGGACGATTGGCTTCTTTTCCAGAGCCTTCCATCCTTTTTATGGCCACTAGAACATTTATTGGCCTGTGGGTGGACATAGAGCTCATGGCTGCTGTTTCAAAGGTGATAAAATGGAGGCCATTCTGTGAAATGGAAACCACACTGGGCTTCCAGCTCTCCTCTGCCCCGTCTCTGAAGTAGGTCTGCCACGAGTGCAGTGAGTGCCAGGAGTGTGTGTGTGTGTGTCACCATGATGGCTCCTGTGTTTCAGGCTGATGCTGACTAACATGCTGTACCCTTTTGTCTTGCCTTCCATGTACCACAGGATCGATAAACAAATAAGCAGGTTTCGGAGATGGTTACCCAAGAAGCCAATGAGGCTGGACAAGGAGACACTGCCAGACCTGGAGGAGAACGACTGCTACACTGCCCCTTTCAGCCAGCAAAGGATCCATCAGTGAGTGTTTTGTGTTAAAACCCCCAAATTACTAAGGAGGTGCAGCTGTGGCAGAGCCTACCTTGGTAGAAGGAGCAGCATAGTGTCCAGTCTCCCCTAAAAAAAAATGTCAGATTTATATCTCTTTTATATCAGCCAGGGGAAGCTGATGGCTATCACAGAAATCCCCACATCTCAGTGGCTTAAAATGTCACAATGCTCTTTGTAGGTTTGGTCTTCTCCTTGGTGATCAGGAGACCCAGGCTCCATCTGTCTTATGGCTCTGCCAATTTCCAGTGCTCAGAGGGTTCCACAGGCTCACCTGCTTGCAGGCAAGGGAACTGGTACCTATGGCTCCTTAGAGGATTTTTTGTTTTGTTGTTGGTTGGTTTTCATCTCAGTTTGCTTCTCAGTTCCCCTTCCTTCAGCATATCATCAAACTGTCCCAAGAAAAGCCACATCACCTCTCAGCCCACTTGCTGACAGTCTATCAGACTGTCTCAGAACAGCAATTTGCCACTTTTGACATGTGGGAAGAAAAAAAAATGTTGGCTAAGTAACTGAGGTGCCTATAAAGAATTGCAAAAGTAATAGAGAATTTACTCTAAAGTTTCTGAGATGACAAGAAATGTTTGCTGGAAGGCAGGGTAGGTGTTGGGAGAGAAAAGCATGCCAAAGACTATAAACAACTAGGGAAAAATAGTCTCCCCAAAGGGACATAAATCAGCTCAGCCCTGCCTCACCTTCAGCCAGACTCAGGAATTCCCGGCCTTCTGTTCTGCATCAAAATGCACAATGCTCAGGAAAATCAATCTAATGCAAAGAAAGCAACTCAGAAAACTTCTAAAATAGCCAAACCTTGGATCCCCATGGTTCACATTGTGTGAACATTTAAAACATTATTTAAGCTCACAACCCTAGTTAAAATCTCCATGGAAAATGGGAACTGAGAGATATTTAATGTTAATTCAGAGATCAGGACCTCTGGGTGTTTTCTTAAGAGAAAAAGAGCAATGAAACCTGGCATGTTCCCACTCTTAATTTAGATCCTTGCTGCATTGATGTTGTTTATCTTGGAAATTTTTTAGAACAATTGTTTTTTAAATCCTTCTAATGTGGAGTCTGGTTTACATGCAGATTTTCCTTTGCTTGTCACCTGCTTGGAAGGGTGACTAGCACAGTGCAAGGGGGTCTCAACATTTTTGATGATGGGTAAATGGTTACATGTATAGGTGGGGCAATGGTTGGTTGGGTGGATGGAAGGATCGATGGATGGAGGGAGGGAGGGAGGAATGGAAGGACTGAAAGATAGATGGGTGGATGGATATGTGTATAGAGGAATCAGTGGTGTGTATGTTGTACCAGGATTTTGTTTTATTTCAATGGGATATAATAAAATGAAAGATGAAATTCTCCCACACTATCACCACTTCATGCTGGTTATATTCCTGATGTTCTTGCTTTAGAACAACACTTCTCAGCATGGATCTCAAAATTGGAAGCATTTGGGATCCCATTAGGATTTCTAGAGACTTAGAACTGAGAATCATATTTTTACAAGTATTTCTAAAATATCTAACAAATGAGAGATGATAGGGTTATGGATAGAGATATTCAACCATCTCACATTTGAGAGGCTTTTTAAAAAAAATACACTTGGGTATTGATTCACTGAATAATTGAATAGTTGAACAGTCACCAATTTAGTATCTACTTCTTACCAGGCATTGCCTGGATATGGAGGATATAAAGACAAATAATACAGTCTTTACCCTAATATGCTGATACAAACTATTTTAAATAGAATGATGGGTGTGACCTAAAAGTAGAAGTGCTCAGTGGTCCAGATTTGGAAAGAGATTGGAGAAGAAAGTGCTTGATGAGGGTCTAGAAGGATAAGACTTGCCCAGGTAGGTAGAGGGAGCAGGGGCAGGTTACCTAAGAAGACAGAACAATATATAAAAGGACAAAGGATAAAAAAGGTGATATTGAGGAATCACTCATAGTCTTCCGTGAATGGAGTTATAAGGTATGAGGAGGACCTAACATTATTGTTGGAAAAGGGAAAGAGATCAGTGGAAATGAGTTCTCAAGACAGGAGAACCAAGAAGGGAGTTATGGATAGAAGTATTCAACCGTCTCACTTTGAGAGGCCTTGTTTTTGTTTTTGTTTATGTTTTTGTTTAACACATACGTCCATAGGGATGGATTAAATAAGGCAAATCTAAAAACCAGGCCTCTTGGGACCAAGAGAACAGAGGCGATTCTATCATGAAAATGAGAGGTGAAAAATAAAGTGTCCAGAATGTCCAAGGGGTGGGAATTTCTTTCTGTTTGAAAATTTTTATACCACATGGGTGACATCCTTTTGATTGTAGTAAAAAAGGAAGACTTGAAGAATGTTGACTGTCAAGTTGTAAACAGTCATTGGTATAATCAGAAAAAAAAATATTCCCTAAAGATGCATTGAGGATGTTATTAATGGGTTTAATTTAATCAGAAGTAACTGCTTAATGAGCTCTGGGAGTTGTGACATGATATCCTGGCTTTGCAAATGCAGTCCAAACTCTCATGTGACTTCTTGGTTTTGCAGAATGATATTATATTTGTTTTGGAGTAAAAGAGAATGATAGAAATTAAAGTGTTTATACATGTACTGGGGGCCATGAATAGAGAAATTTTAAGTTTTAATAAATAATTATCAAAATGGTTAAGTTCCTTAAAATATTAAATTTTAATAAATAATTATCAAAATGGATAAGTACCTTAAAATACTTGCTCTGGGCATAAAACTCAGACTCCTAAGTTGGTCACTAACTCCTGCTTCCATTCCCCCTGCTGTATCCTTTGGCCATACTGAGCTCTTTGACCTCCTTAACTCACCCTGGGCTCTTTTGTCTCCTTCCTATCCTAGCTTTTCCTTCTACATGAAATAACTTTTCCCTTAGACTCCCTTCTTCCCAGATTCATCAGAGATATTTCTTCTAGAAAACCTTCCATAACTCCTGGTCTCCATCTCTAACTCTTGAGTAAAATGCACTCTTATGTCTTGGCAATATTTAAAAATTTTTCCTTAATTAATAGTACCATCTATTTTAATTACCTTCTCTAAGACTCCTTGAAAGATTGTGTCTGTCCCACCATTTTTAAATTCCATAACAGATGTACAATAATGTTTGCTAGGTTAAAAAAAATGAGCACATTAAAATGAAAAGACAAGAATCATGTGAGTAGAGAATTGAAATGAGGTGAAGTTAGCTGACTGTACACTCACCTCAAACCAACTCTGAGGAGTCCACCTCCACCCCCATTATTCCCTGTATCAGGACATAGTACTAATTCATTTGCTGAAACTGGAGCCTGAAAGCTATTTTAGGCACCCCCCCCCAGTGCTGCTTCCCACATCTTGTGCATCTTCCAGGGCTGAAGGCTTTACATCTTAAATGAATCTTTACTCCCAACAACTTTCCCTCACCTTTGCCACCATTATCTTACTTTTGAAACTGAGGTATTCACAGGTCTCACCATTTCTGGACTTTCTCATCTCCCATCCATTCTCTTGGGGAATACTAAGTGTTTTCAAAATATCTATCTAATAATGCCAGTCTAATCCTATATATATATATATATATATATATATAAATTTTTTTTTCTTCATGGTGCTGGAGATTGAACCCAGGACCTTGTGCGTGCAAGCCAAGCACTCTACCAACTGAGCTATATCCTCAGCCTCAATCTAACCCTATTTTAAAAACTTAGAATAAACATCAGAATTATTACCTTGGCTTACAAGGCTTTGTGGTCTTTTCATGTGGCTGTCTCCCACCTCGACTCACTTGCCTTATGGCCTTCCATCCTGCACTACTGTGGTCCAGATACACACACCCTCTCTTAGTCCTATGGCCAGACTGTGCTTCAGGACATCTATACATTCTGTTTCCTCTCCTGGAATACTCCTCCCTTTCATCTAGTTTATTCCTTTTACTTTTCAGCACTTATAATTTGGGTGGGCGGGGGGGGAGTTGTACATACTTATGAGGTACAATGTGATGTTTTGATTAATTTGAACATGGGTACCAATCAAAGTAGAGTAATTAATATATCAGTCATCCCAAGTTTATATCATTTCTTTGTGGGAAATACCTCCAAAATTCTCTCTTGTAACTATTATGACATATGCTATGGATTATTGTTAACTATATTCACCCAACTGTGCCAAATACCACCAAAACTTATTCTTCCTATCCAACTTAATGTAGTACCTGTTGACCCACCTTTCTTTATTCTACCTCCTCCACTACCTTCCTGGTCTCTGGTAACCCCTATTCCACTCTCAACTTCCATAAGATCAGTATTTTTAGATTTTCTCATATGAGTGAGATCGTGCAGTACTTGATCCTTCAGAACTCAGTTGTAATGAGTCTTCCTGGGAAGCCTCCCTCCCATAGTCTCTCCCTCTCTGCCATTTCTTCCAAGGATCATGTCTCCTAACTCTGTACTCTTTTAGCAGAATATTTCCAACATAAATTTTTTCAAATTGGACAGTTTATGATTATTTGAGTATTAAATGGGAAATGCTTGTCTTTCTAGGTAAATTCTGAATTCTGTGGGGGCACAGTTTTATTCACACTCTTATCTCCAACACCTAACACAATGCCTAGCATACAGCAGATACTCATTACTTGTTTAGTAAATGAATAGGTCAAGGATAAAAGTAATAAAGGCAACACAGAAAAATCTAATTGCAAATCTTTGTTTTTAAACTCTATTGTACAAAAAAATCTGAAATTGAGAATCCATTAAAAAACAAACAGTCTACCATTCTACTGGAACCTATATCTGTGTTTGAGAAGCAATCAAAGCAAACCAGTGGTAGACATTTCTATAAATCAGTAATGCCATTTGGTTATTTTATGTGATATCAACAAAGATGGGCCTACATTTGAGAAGGCTCTTACTATATGCCAGACACTGTTCAAAGAACTTCACTGTCCTCATATGACCCTGTAAGGCCGTGGATA